TATCAAAAACAGTTGAGCAATCCTTATTTTCCCACTCATGACTTGGGTTCCTCCGGGAGAAGGTACAGGTACTCGGCTCCAGCGGACGTCAAGGGGGAGCGGCAGGAGAGGAGGCCGAGGAGGGCCCCGTCTCTCCTCCTCGAGGCGCCTCGGCTCCGGAGAGGTCGGGGCCCGCGCCTCTGGGCGCCCGGCGCCTGGGCCTCCCCAACGGGCGCCGGGAAACGCGCCGCCTCCGGGCCCCGCACTCGAGTCCTAGCTGGGAGCTCCGGCCGGGCCGCCCGCGCGGTTGGTAACGTCCGCCCCGCCGGGAGGGGTCCCCAGCGCGCGGGCCGTGTCCTCGCGGCTCTCCCGGCGCCTCGGGAGGGACGTGGGCCCAGGAGCCGCCCCGCCGGTCGCCGCTGTGCCCGCGGACCGGGCGGCGTGTCCTCGGGCGACTTCCCTCGGGCCGGGGGCCGATCTGCCCGGGAGCTGTCAGCAGGTGGGCGTGCTGTCCTCCTGCCGCTCGGGCGCCAGCCCCAGCCACGTGGGCTCCAGGCCGTTTGACTTGTGCCCGGGGCGACCGGAAACCAAGTTCCAAATCTTATTTATTTTTTTATAGTTAAAATGTAAAAACCTCGCGCGGCCAGCAGCTGGCCGTATGGTGACAGTAGAGACATAGCCGGGGTTTGGGACTAAGTGTCGGTTCCTATTTCGGTGCCGAGTGGTTTTCCTCGGCGATGCGAGTTGGTAAGTGGCCCCTGGGGCTCACGTCGTGTCTGGAATACACCCCGCGGACTCGCCAACAAGCCTCTCCGGTGGGGCTGGAGCCGAAAGGTCTGCAGTGGATCCCTTAGCCCCGGGCGGCTGTGGAGGTCGTTGGCTCCAGGGAAAATGATGTGTTTCACTCCTTTTCTGTCTGGGATGTCGGGGGAGCAGTTAGCATCTGAGGAAATGGAAGTTGTCATCAATTCTGTGCCCGAGGCAGTGACACACTGGCCCTTCGAGGGTTGTCAGCATTCTTTCAAGTAGAATAGGGACATTTAACTTCGGAAAGATTACAATTGCGGGGCGGGGGTGGGGGGGCTCGGTTGGTTGGAGCGTCATCCCAGGTGTGGCAGGGTCTCGGCTGAGATCCCCGGTCGGTCGGGTCGGGGTGTGCACGGGACACAACCGGAGCCTGCGCAACCCTCCCTAAGCCCAAACCCCGGGGAGGAATTCCAGAGGAAGCGAAAAGCGTGCTTTTCATTGTTGTGACTCTGGCCAGTGGCTCAGCCGCTGAGCATCGACCTATGAGCCAGGGCGTCACGGTTGGATCCCCCGGGGCACAGGCCCGGGTTGCGGGCGAGATCCCCAGTGTGGGGCGTGCAGGAGGCAGCCGATCCACGATTCTCTCTCAGCATTGATGTTTCTCTCTCTCTCCCTCTCCCTTCCTCTCTGAAATCAATAAAAATACATTTTTTTAAAAAGAGTGATGGGCGTTATGAGTCACGATAGGCCATGAATCTGGTGGAAGTAGGACCCTGGCTCTCTGGCTGCCAGCTGTGAGGTCCTGGGCAAGTAACTTAGCCTTTTTGAACTCTGGCTTCCTCTTTGGTAAGAAGGAGATGAAGGCCATTTTGTAGGGTTGTGAAGATTTACTGAGGGGGACTCTTCCCCCCTCCCCATGTGGGAGTCTGTACTTGTTCTTCAATAAATTTCCATCTTTGCTATACAAAAAAAAAAAAAAAGATTTACTGAGACTACATCTGACTTGTAATTGGCTCTCATTACATGAGAGTTATTCTTGGTAGTGATATTTTGTAGATAGGAGCAATATTCATAGGTTGTTTGCCCGGAAGGCAGAATCTTACGTAAAAATACAAGTAAAAGAAAAAAGTGTTGTTTTTTAAAGTCAGTCGTTCCTCTACTATTTTGAAAATAATCATCCACAATTGTTTGGACTTTGGTTTTCACTTAATTTATATTTGCCTGTCTGTGTTTGAAAGTTGTAAGCTCTGGTTTTTCAAGAAATCCTAAAGGATAAAGAAATAGACATCCTATACAATAAAAGGCTAATATGCAAATCAACCAAATGGTGGAACGACCTGTCGCTATGACGCACACTGACCACCAGGGGCCAGACGCTCAACACAGGAGCTGCCCCTTGATGGTCTGCGCTCAGCCAGAAGCCGGGCTCACAGCTGGCGAGTGCAGCGGTGGTGGCGGGAGCCTCTCCCACCTCTGGCAGCACTAAGGATGTCTGACTGATGGCTTAGGCCCGCTCCCCACAGAAGGAGCGGGCCTAAGCCAGCTGTGGGCAAACTACGGCCCGCGGGCCGGATCCGGCCCGTTTGAAATGAATAAAACTAAAAAAAAAAAAAGACCGTACCCTTTTATGTGATGATGTTTACTTTGAATTTATATTAGTTCACACAAACACTCCATCCATGCTTTTGTTCCGGCCCTCCAGTCCAGTTTAAGAAGCCATTGTGGCCCTCGAGTCAAAAAGTTTGCCCACCCCTGGCCTAAGCCGTCAGTCAGACATCCCCCGAGGGCTCCCGGACCATGAGAGGCGCAGGCCAGGCTCAGGGACCCCCCTGAGTGCATGAATTTCGTGCACTGAGCCTCTGGTAAAAATTATAATTGAGTAACCAAGTAGTACTTAGTCTTGGATAATGGGATCTGTATCTCTGTGAAAGTTCAGTGGCCCTTGAGCATGTCAGAAGAGAGGGGGAATGGGTGTTAATACTGCCCAGCAGCATCCTGTAGGAGACATTTTTTATTTTATTTTTTTGATATATATATTTTATTGATTTTTTACAGAGAGGAAGGGAGAGGGATAGAGAGTTAGAAACATCGATGAGAGAGAAACATCCATCAGCTGCCTCCTGCACACTCCCTACTGGGGACGTGCCCGCAACCAAGGTACATGTCCTTGACCGGAATCGAACCTGGGACCCTTGAGTCCACAGGCTGACGCTCTATCCACTGAGCCAAACCGGTCAGGGCTATTTTATTTTTTAATTTATTAATTTTAGAAAGAGAGAAGTATCAATTTGTCGTATGCACGCCTTGGTTGCTTCTTGTATGTGCCCTGATCAGGGATCGAACCAGCAACCTTGGTGTATTGGGATAGTGCGCTAACCAAAAGGGCCTGACATTTTTTTATTTGAAAATAATTTTTTTCATGAGATCTGAAATATTGGCAGTATCTGTGTTAGATTGCCACCGTGTAGGTGACTTTATAGTAAAAGTCCAGTTTTAATTCAGTCGCTGTTTACTTTGTCAGCACTTAGAACTGAACAGTCGGAGTAAGGTGGTTGTCTTTCAAACTGAGGGAGGGAATTGGGTATACATTTCCATCACCAGTGCCACAGTTCAGATCTCTGTCATCTGTTTACTTTGAAGGCTCAGTTTTTTAAGGCCGTATAGCTTGTCAATATAATGTTGACTAGTGGATTTCTGTGGGGCATATAAGAAAATACCCTTGAACATTGTGGGGTTGACCCTCTGTGCAGTCAAAAATCTGTGCATAACTTTTTATTATTATTGATTTTTAGAGAGAGAAATTTATTTGTTGTTCTACTTATTTATGCATTGATTGATTGCTTTTTGTATGTGCCCTAACCTGGAGTTGAACCTGCAACCTTGGTATATCAGGACAATGCTCTAACTAACTGAGCCCCTACCCAACCAGAGCTACGTATAACTTTTTACTCCCCAAATACTTAATTGGTAGCCTACTATTGCCTAATAACATAAACATCAATTAATATATTTTGTATGTTACATTTATTATCTATAATAATAAAAGTGTAATGCTAATTAGACCTATGTCCTTCCAGACGAAGCCAGGGCTACGAGGGAAGCCGGGGAACTGGGTGCCTGCGGGGGGGCCAGAGGGAAGCCGGTGCCAGCAGCTGGGAGAAGGAAAGCCTACTCTTGCATGAACTTCATGCATCCGGCCTCTAGTATACTATACTAGTGGTTCGGTGCATGGACTTGTGCACATTGAAATAAAATTAATTAGAAGAAATATTTTAATATCGTTATTCGCCCTTTCTCTATAATAGAAGTGTTAACCAAATTCACTATCGACAATGACAGATCAAAACACACCCGTGTGATTGGCACCAGCAGTAGCTTTATATGTATCATGCATGCATGAGTCAACTTAACCTTTTATGTGTGTGTGTGTGTGTGTGTGTGTGTGTGTATATATATATATATATCTGCTTTCTGATTTAGCTAAACTTTTTCCAGCCCAGTGAGGCACCCCAACTTCTCTTTCAGGTAATTGTCAGTAAATATCAATACAAAACAGATTATTATTGTAGATCACGCAGGGAGAACAAAGGGTAAATATTTAACTGCAGCAGTGTCTGACTATATTCTGTGCAGTGAGAAAACCTGAAGTCATTTTCAAGGTCCACCATTTCTTCTTTTCAGTCGGGTCAAGTTTCTAAGCTTTCTAAATCTCCATTTTCAGCTAATTAAAAGAAAATAGGTTTCTACCGAGTCTCCTATCTGCCTACTGCAGGACTTCTGTGAGGATCATATGAGATGGGGCACGGAAAACGCTTCACAGACATCTGGTTACAGTGTAAAGTGTTTGCACCTGGCTATAAAGCAAGTGGTGTTCCTGGGCTGAAAAAACTCCAAGGAGGCTAGTCGTTAGGGAGAGGAAGACGGGCGTTGCTACGTGATGTCATTACCTGGTGCCCACAGCGACTGTGCTGTGCTGGGCTGGGGTGTGGGCTGCATTTTGTGCTATGGGGTCTCGGCAGCGTTGACTGCTTTGGTGGGCTGTCGCTCCGGGGTGGTGGTGGGGCCTGTGTCCCACTTGGGGGAAGCCGAGTATTGCTTTGTTGGCATCAGGTCCGTGGTGCCGTTTCTTTGTAAATGGCCAGTGCGCATCATGGCAGCTCCTGTGTTGAGCATCTGCCCCCTTGTGGTCAGTGCGCATTATAGCAACCGGTCAGTTGGACACTTAGCATATTAGCATATTAGCCATATATATATATATGTACATATATATATATATATATATATATATGTTACTATAATAAAGTTATCTACAGAAAAGAAAATTGTAAGGAAGAGAAAATATATTTACAGTATATATTGAAAAACTCCACATATAAGTGGACCTGTGCAGTTCAGACTCATATTCAAGGGCCAGTTGTAATTTCATAGTTACTCTGGTCCCTTGCTGCTTATCCTTTTAAATGTCTTTACTTTTTGTTTTTTATTTTAAAAATATTTTTATTGATTTCAGAGAGGAAGGGAGAGAGATAGAAACATCAGTGATGAGAGAGAATCATTGATCGGCCGCCTCCTGCATGCCCAAGCCTGGAATCAAACCCAGGACCCTTCAGTCCAATCCTCTATGCACTGAGCCAAACCAACCAGGACTAAATATCTTTGCTTTTTAAAAATAAATTTGTAAAAGTAGGGTACCAGTTTAAAAATATATAAATAGAATTCTCTCTTTTCATTTTAGATGGAAATTATATGACAGAATATTTGGGTAACATCTTCCTGAAAGATCTTCAAGGACTACAGGTATTTTTAATTTAGAAATTAACTTTTCTTCTAAAGGAAAAATACCATAGTTAGGTTCAGTTGTGAATTGGTGGTTCTGCCATATAAACCAATTTGTTAAAAGTGAAATTGCAAGTATTATATTTATTGTCCTCTTATTGTGATTTTTTAAAATTGGGCATTTATAGTTAATATCAAACTTAGATTCACTGGTTTTTAAAATTTATTTTATCATTAAAACATGGCTCTACAGTCCTTTAGATTGGTGACATATTTAGTATATATGTATTCTAAATCTTTGTTTTAATTATGTTTGTTTATTTTTTAAGAGAAATTATCTACTCCAAATAGCCTTTACATTTGTATTTAATCCAGATTTGGTTGTGTAAATTATTTACATACTATTCAATTCAAATGCCCTTGCATTTTAACGGTCTGTTAATTCTTAATTTAAGTCATTATTTGATACTGTTCTTTGCAAATGATCACTTGAAATAGTACTTGTGCAAATGGGTATTTGCCAAAATCTTCTTTGAGTTGAAGTTAGTACTTGTGATTATTTTGCTTTCTCAGCTAGTGTTCTCTGTTCATTTATATGTAATTGAGTAACATTCTGATCTGTGAGGTTTTTTCAGTAGCTGTTTTCACTTGAACTCTTTACCCTAAATGGATTCTGGTTTTCCCTGGCCTTGATCCTGCTAAGACAGAAGAATATCTGTAGTTTTCCTTCTCTGTTAAGCCAGTTTCTTTGCCTCTAAGCACCGCTTTTAAAAAGACTGAGCCCTAACCGGTTTGGCTCAGTGGATAGAGCGTCGGCCTGCAGACTGAAAGGTCCCAGGTTCGATTCCGGTCAAGGGCATGTACCTGGGTTGCGGGCACATCCCCAGTAGGAGATGTGCAGGAGGCAGCTGATCGGTGTCTCTCTCTCATCGATGTTTCTAGCTCTCTATCTCTCTCCCTTCCTCTCTGTAAAAAATCAATAAAATATATTTAAAAAAAAAAAAAGACTGAATCAGTTAACTTTGCTGACTAGAGGAGCGTGTTGACGAGCTATGTGGCTTTTATTTTTTCTTTTCTAACTAAGCACCTGCTTTCCAGATATCTGAGAGCAGTGTCTATGAAATAGTCATATACTTTCCCTAGATATTATACTTGGAACTGTGTCCCTATTTACGTACTGTCTCTGTCACCACTAAGTGGGCATGACCAGCAATGAGATTTTAAACTTTGGTAGTTCAGCCTTTAGGTTGTTTCCCCTGTGGGCAGCTGTGGGATGTGTGTCTCAAAGGCTCTGGCAGGAAGGACAAATCCATGGGAATGGGACTCACTGACAGAGCAGACAGCCTTCCTCTTCCATGCCAGGCCCGTCATGTGTAGCTGCCATCACCAGCCCCTCTGCCCTCCAGGAAAGGGGTCCCTTTGTTGTGCTTGGGCAGGGGGAGGATGTTGAGATGACCTGTATGAGACCAGAGTTGGGAATAGGTTGTAGTGGGGTAGGGTCAGGGTTAGGCCATTTTGATTCTTTTTTTTTTTTTAATATATTTTTATTTATTTCAGAGAGGAAAGGTAAGGGAGGGAGAGATAGGAACATTAATGATGAGAGAGAATCGTTGATTAGCTGCCTCCTGCACACCCCCTCTTGGGGATTGAGCCCGAAACCCGGGCATACATGCCCTTGACTGGAATTGAACCTGGGACCCTTCAGTCCACAGGCCAATGCTCTATCCACTGAGCCAAATCAGCCAGGGCCCATTTTGATTCTTGAATGACTTCTGTTACAACTTCTCACAGTGAAAGTAACACACATTTTTTTCTTTTTCTTCCTTAGAAGACAAAAACACTAATGCATTTGAGAAAGTGGTAAAGTTGGGGGGGAGGGGAAGAACCCTGCTTTCCTGATTTGCAACTTGCCTGGATGCTAAGATGTCGGTGGACATGAATAGCCAGGGGTCTGACAGTAATGAAGAGGACTATGACCCAAATTGTGAAGAAGAGGAAGAGGACGAGGACCCTGGGGACATCGAGGACTATTACGTGGGCGTGGCCAGCGATGTGGAGCAGCAGGGGGCCGATGCCTTTGATCCCGAGGAGTACCAGTTCACCTGCTTGACCTACAAGGAGTCCGAGGGTGCTCTCAATGAGCACATGACCAGCTTAGCCTCTGTCCTGAAGGTGAGCAGTGTTGTCAATTCCAAGTGTAATCCTGCCCCCCTCCAATGAAATCTAAACATGAGCTGTTGTTAACTAATTTTTCCTTCAGACCGATTGAATGGCCCTGTAGCTTGAAGTCAAATTTGAGTACGTGTTGCATCATTTGGACACATTTGATGCATTTACTTTGTTTTCTGGTATATGCATATCTAAGACCCTCAGATTCTCAGATTGCTAGAATTACAAAGGAGGGGTGGGATGGATTCAAGAAAGTTAGACCAGAAATATATAGAAGCAGAATTGCACAGATTAACACTTGTTTAAGAAAGTGAGTCTTATGAAACTTTATTGGGTAAAATCTGATAAGCATCAGAATCACCATCTTCTACACAACCATGTGTGAGTGACTGATAAATGTGTGTCCTAAATAATCAGTGCCTCTGGGCTCATGATCTCATTTGTTTCATATACTGGTGACTGATCTAATGTTGGAAGAAATCTTATAGCCGTAACCTTAAGAATAAAGTAAGTTCTCGTAGTTTGTATTTCACTGATTTGAGGGGGTTGTTAATATGGAAATTTTAAGGAATTAACAAAGTTGGTTATTCCAGCAAGAATCTTATTTTTAACACTTAACTAGCATACTTTTCTTTTTCTTTAAACTTTTATTGATTTTAGAGAGGAAGGAAGGAAGGAAGGAAGGAAGGAAGGAAGGAAGACAGAGAAACATCGATCGGTTGCCTCCCATACATGCCCGTACTCGCCCCGTATGCGCCCTGACTGGGAATGAACACGCAACCAACGGAGCCACCCAGCCAGGGTGCATACTTTTCCCTGCCTTGCCCTCAGCCAGTGACCGTCCTCACTGTGTACATTTTGTCGTGTGTGATAGATATTACACTCGTGCGTGGTGTGCTCACCTAGAACGCTGTGCACTGTGCGTATCTTTACGGTCCTTTAGACATTTTCCCAGCTTGTTTCTTTCCCCTATGACGTTGCCCATTATGTGAAAGGGGACATTTTTCTTATTTCACTGTGTTCACTGACCTTCCTTCAGGAAGTGTTATATGGATTTTGTTGTCTGCTTGAAATTGAAGTCAGAGGTAGATTGGCTTATTTCAACCAAATAATCCTCTGTTAGTATTGGTAAACGGAAATAACGAAAGTGTGCTGTGTATGATTTCTGTAACAGTTTTCCAGTTTAGGGATTTTCCCCCCAGGTGGTCAGCAAAGGCTCATAATGCCTTGGATTTAGATACTCAGGGTTTATTAGCAACCAGCTGGAAGCTGAATGCTAGGCTTTTTGTGTGACTCATTCCTAAAAGTGATTGCAGACTTTCTCTTTGCTCAGCAGAGAACTCTGGAGAATGGAGCCCAGTGGAAGCCCCGGTGTGGGATTTCTGCACTGTAGCTCTAGCAGCTGCTGGGACTCTGCTTCCAGAGGGCCTTGCCCAGGGGAAAGGAGGCATCGGGCTCTTTCTTCCTCACCCTGCACACCTCCCTGTCTGCTCAGCCAGCTTCTTTTGCTTTAATCACATGGTCAGGTTATGCACAGTGTTGGTATTTAAAATTAGCAAAGGAGTTGTCAGGTGTGTGACTGGGTTCATCAGAGTCTCTCCATCTGGGCCCAGGAGTCTGTTTGTGAAGGCCTCTGTGCTGACTTCCCTAACCTGCTAGAGGCAGCCGGGGCCCAGGCACCTCTCTCCATCTGTGTGTGGGGTAAAATATATGTAACATCAAGTTTATCACTTACACCTCCCTCATCAGGCTGCCGTATGGTCAGCCCTCTGAGAGCCTTTGCTCCCTAGAAGGCTCTCCTGACCTCCCAGGACCCTCAGGGCTCCTGCAGAGGCCAGCTGTGCTCTGAGCAAGGCTTGCTAAGAACCCCTGGAAAACAGTGGGTGTGCGCTCTTGGTCTGTGCCCATTGCATTAGACCGTATACTGCCGTCTTCTGAGTGCTTTGTGTTGTTTGACCTTTTACACATATTTTTGCGTGGTCTCTCCAACTAGATTGTCACTTCCTGGAGGGCAGGGGCCACTTTGCACATTATTGCCCCCATAATTCCTGTCAGTATTTCCTCCATAGTAGGTATTAAATCATTTCTTGGATACTTGTGGGTTTTGTTAACTGTTGAGGACAGTATCTGATGCTATTGGTGAGTTAGATTCCCTAGACCAGGGGTGGGCAAACTTTTTGACTCGAGGGCCACAATGGGTTCTTAAACTGGACCGGAGGCCGGAACAAAAGCATCGATGGAGTGTTTGTGTGAACTAATAGAAATTCAAAGTAAACATCATCACATAAAAGGGTACGGTCTTTTTTTTTTTTTAGTTTTATTCATTTCAGACGGGCCAGATCCGGCCCGTGGGCCGTAGTTTGCCCATGGCTGCCCTAGACCCTGCTGTACATCCTTGTCTAATGTCATGAAAAGGCATATTCTGGCCCTCAAGGTCATGAAAAGAAGGGAAAAAAACTTAGAATAGAGATGAAAGGATAAAAAGAGATGGGAGAAAGTTAAAACACAAGGAAAGAGTTCAAGAGAAAATGGGGCAGCCCTAGCTGGTTTGCTCAGTGGATAGACCATTCTTCTGCGGACTGAAGGGTCACAGGTTCGATTCTGGTCAAGGGCACATGCCCAGGTTGCGCCTCGGTTCCCAGTAGGGGGCGTGCAGGAGGCAGCCAATCAGTGATTTCCCTTTCATCATTGATGTTTCTACCTCTCTCTCCTTCTCCCTTCTTCTCTGAAATCAATAAAAATATATATATATTTAAAAATTAAAAATAAAGATCCTCTCTCATCATTGATGTTTCTATCTTTCCCTCTCCCTTCCTCTCTGAAATCAATTTTTATATATATATATGTACATATATGTATATATAAACAATTCACACACATACACATATATATATATATATTTAAAAAGAGAAAATGGGGCAAAAAGGAAAGTACTCCATGGAAATTTAGATGCTGCTAGAATATAGGTTCCCCCCATCCTAGACTTCACTGAGGAGACTCCTTTCTCTCTGGGGCTGGGCCACAAGGGACCTGCTCTTCTGGTGACTTGGCTGCACATAAAGGGACTCAGTGATGTTCTAAGTGGTTTGGGAATTTGACCCAAGAGGCCGCAGAAATCGCATGTTGAATGAGGAAGGCGCATGGGCTTGGATTCATGGCAGGCCCGTCCCCCTGGGTCTCTCATCGTGCCCCGCGCCAGAGCAAACTGGCCTGGAACCATTGCCCAGCCTCTGCCAGTGGGTTGCAGGCACTGAAACGGGTTACACAGTGGAAAGGAGAAAGAAGGAAGGAATCACGTAATCTTCCTCTTTCAGGCTGGCTAAAAACTAGCATTTTTATTTTTATGATGAATATTTTTTGAGACAGAAGGGAATACTTTGAGTGTTGAGTTGACAGAACTCAACTACTGTCAACTGTGGCTCCCCTGTTGCATGTCTGTCTGAGTGGAGATCAGTAGTCGTCACCCCGATCACTGCTGATTTCCCCCGTTGGTCATGGCACTGTTTGTGCCACTGTGTGACATACTGAGGTCTTTTATATGATTCAGGTGCTGTTGGGCGAGTAGGGAATGTCACATGTATGACGTTTAAAATTATAGTGTTGGGAAGAGCTGCCTATGAACAAAAGCTATCTAAGTTTGAGGAGTGGCTTGAATTTTTCACTGTTGTTCAGGTCTGTCTGACTCTTTGTGTGTGTTCTGGCAGTTGCCTATGCATGAGCCATAGTCTAATATAAAGTTAAGCCTTTTGGGATTTGATGTCTCTTAAGTAGAAAAACCCCAACTGTCTGAGACCCTGAGCTTTTGGTTTAGTGAGGACCTCTGGGGTGAGGGGAGGACTTCCTGTGTGTGTTCTGGGACTAGTCCATGAGTCTCATCATTAATCGAGAAAGGAAAGTGCCCAGAAAATCAGATCAAGGACTGAGGCTAGACAGCAGAGAAAATGCTTATCTGTTATTGAGGGGAAACTACCATTGTTCACATCATGGCAGAACAAGGAGCAGAGTTTGAAAAAGGAGCTCTCATCGTACACAGATGTAATAGCGATGTGATGATTGCCAAGTGAAGTGATGGAGGAGGAGGAGGATCTCTGACAAATATTTTAAGCCATCATGTCTGAGCTGTTAAAGAAAATGTTACCTTTTTTACACACCACGTTTATTTTTATAGGGAACTTACACAAAGATTATTTTATTGTTACAGATGAGAGAGGCCCTTTCTCGCAATAACAGGCATTTAAAATACAATATGTGTAATAGTGAGCCAAGAAGAATCGTGTCCTTCATGGAGTCCTGTTGGGACTGTTCCGTGACACTCGGGAGGCATTTGCTGTCAAGCTGCTCAGAAAGGGCTCAGCGGGGCAGAGCCCAGGTGGCTTTCCCTGGGAGGGGCCAGTGTCCGCTGCAGCTGCGCTCCTCTCGGCAGCCTGTCAGGGTGCGGGCAGGAGAGGTGGGGTGCTGCCCTGGGCCCCACCCAATTGTTTAAGAAGGAGAAGAGGGCCCTGACCGGTTTGGCTCAGTGGATAGAGCGTCAGCCTGTGGACTGAAGGGTCCCAGGTTCGATTCCGGTCAAGGGCATGTACCTTGGTTGCGGGCACATCCCCAGTGGGGGGTGTGCAGGAGGCAGCTGATCGATGTTTCTCTCTCATCGGTGTTTCTAACTCTCTATCCCTGTCCCTTCCTCTCTGTGAAAAGTCAATAAAATATATTTTAAAAAAAAGGAGAAGAGGGTTGACTTTGGCTAGATCTAGTGTACAGTGAGCTATCTGAGCTTTGTGTTGACCGGAAAACCTTGCAGGTGTGATTGGAGGGTAGGAAAGTTCCTTTCCGACTGGGGTGGGAGATGAAGACGCACAGGAATGAAATGTGGAAGGTTGTCATGCAGTCTGTGTCTTGACCACTGAAAGGAAGGAACAGGTTTTTTTAAACTTCTAACACCGAGCTGGACTGGACTGCTCTTCTCGAGTCTGGTGGTCCCCGGATAGGACTGGAGAAATAAGCTGTTATTTTAAGTGTTTTACTGCAGTTCTTGCTCTTTGAATCGCTGTGTTAACTGCAATAGAACAGGGAAAATGTTCTCTAGAACTGTTCTGCCCCCCCCCTTACTTGAATTTGTTTTAGAATCTAGTGTTTGTTATTTAGCAACATATGGCAGGAAAATGTCTTAAGATTCTTTTTTTTTTTTTTAATATGTTTTATTGATTTTCTACAGAGAGGAAGGGAGAGGGACAGAAAGCCAGAAACATCGATGAGAGAGAAACACCGATCAGCCGCCTCCTGCACGCCCCCCACTGGGGATGTGCCCGCAACCAAGGTACATGCCCTTGACTGGAATCGAACCTGGGACCTTTCAGTCCGCAGGCCGACGCTCTATCCACAGAGCCAAACCGGTTCTGGCTTAAGATTCTTTTGTGGATCATTATTCCCCTTTGTGGATGAATTATAATGAGTGTCAGGGCTTCTGACTCTTTTAAAATATATATATATATATATTTATTGATTTCAGAGAGGAAGGGAGAGGGAAAGAGAGAGAGAAACATCAATGATGAGAGAGAATCATGGATCAGCTTCCTCCTGCACGCCCCCTACTGGGGATCGAGCCCGCAACCTGGGCATGTGCCCTTGACTGGAATCGAACCCGGGACCCTTCAGTCCACAGGCCTACGCTCCAGCCACTGAGCCAAACCAGCTAGGGCAGGGCTTCTGACTCTTAAGTGCAGTGCAGAAGTCTTTAGAGTCCCAATTTTAAAACCTGGTTTCTATACATTTGTCACTTGTAACAAGCAGTTGATGTTCTTGTTTTTTGTTTGTTTTTAATTTATTTTTAAAATATATTTTTATTGATACAGAGAGGAAAGGAGAGGGAGAGAGAGAGAGAGAAACATCAGTGGTGAGAGAAAATCATTGATTGGCTGCCTTTTGCAGGGCTCCTACTGGGGATCGAGCCTTTAACCCAGGCATGTGCCCTGACCAGGAATCGAACTGTGACCTCCTGGTTGATAGATTGGTGCTCAACCACTGAGCAACACTGGCCGGGCTGTTTGTTTGTTTTGTAATTGATTTTTAGACAGAGAGAGAGAGGAAGGGAGAGAGAAACGTCAATTTGTTGTTCCTCTTATTTATGCATTCATTGGTTGGTTCTTGTACATACCCTGACTGGGAATAAAACCCACCTGGGCATATCAGGACGATGTAAGAAACTGAGCTACCTAGCCAGGGCGAGCAATTGATGTTTTTAACACAAAGTACCTTCTTTTTAGCTGTTCTCTTTAAGTGGCACCAAGTTTTTTGTATATCTGACAATGACTTCAATTTTATTTATTAAATCAACTTTTTAATATCCTGATTTAGCAGAATTTTAATACTTTTATTTATATAGTGATTAATTAACTAAGTAATGGTGGTTTTTTTGGTTACTACTTATGGGAAAGTATCTTTAAGCTGAGCATAGTAACACTGTTTATGTGGTGAGCCGCCATCTGATTTCTATTTCTATGACTTGATGTCAGATTTCTTTGCATGCCTGTATCTAAAATGAAATTCCTGTGTTCCAAATTGTTGGTTGTTAGTGGGTGTGTTTATATACTCACGATGCTGTAGTCTGGAAGTCTGGTGTGTTGTACTGATACATAAACTTATTTTTTAAAGGGAGATGAGAACTGTCCAGAGTGACATTGAGAATTGCCTAAGTACACCTGGTGCTAGAGTTGTCCCTATCTTGCCAGCTGACAAAGGTTATTGTCATCATTGACTTTGTGTGCTCACTGTGTACTTGGCACCGCATGCAACATGCTCACCGCCTTCCAGAAAGGACGCTCTGCATCGGCGTCAAGGCCAGCTTTCCTCGTCTCTTTATTGTGCTTTTACACTACCTTAGGGACCATGTCAACCGCGTGTAATCAGGGGTGATTCTAATCCACACTTGTGTTCTAGTCCTGGACTTATTTATATTTAAATGTTCTTTGTTGATGTTACTGCAATATTAATAAAGAGTATCATTCATAATTTCATTGACCTAAAATAAGTTTTCTTCCTTGTTTATTATCCTTCAGGTATTGTCCATATTCATACATAACATTACTGTGCTGCAGTTCATTCATTCAACCAATATTATTGGCTACCAAGTATGTGCCAGGCACTGGAAAAATAGCTGTGAACAAAATAGATAACAATCCCTATACTTGTCCACATTGCATTCCAGTAATCATTACCTAGATGTATTTTCATGTATATTTCAATATTTCCGCATTTTTACTTCGTTGTCATGGATTGCTTTAAATGGCTGTATCGTACACCATCTTATTCCTGAGCCAGCGTTTTCTCAGGTCCCCGTTGGGCACGTAGGTGCATCTGTGCGTGTTGCAGCTGCGGGGGATGGCTAATCGCTCTGAGCGTGCTCATCGAATGTGGCCTTTGTCGTTGGGAGTTGGCCAGAGCCTTGGCTAGTCCCTTTTCTGCCCCTCAGTATAACATGCCCTTGGGCAAGTTCCTCAGCCTCGTTCAACTTTAGTTCTCTCATCTGTAGAATAATGATGATAATACCTTCGTCACAGCATTACAGGAGATCATGCATGTCAAGGATCGAGCACATGCATGTTGAGGTAAATGGTTCTGGTGGAGGCAGGGCAAGAGCAGAACAGTGGGAATGTTGATTTCACAGGTTCGCTCTGGTTCCTTAAGACTCTTTCTCAGGATTGGTGCTTTGAGTCATAGAGTAGCAGCCACATGGAGGAAGGATCTAGATGTCACGTTGCTGCTGGTGCCTCAGAGTGTGCATGCAGTCGTTGGGTCGTACACTTTGGATTCTTTTGCTTTCATCCGGAGCCTCTGGTGCCCTTCTCCTTGGCCCCACGAATAAGGGAAGTAAAAATTATGCAAAATGAGTTTTGAATTGGGACCAGGAAGGAGATACAGGGATGTATAGCGGGTCTGTTGTTCCTGCATTTCCGGTTGACTATAGTGGTGTGTGTTTACTTTGTCTTTGCCCCTATTGCTCTAGGGAAAATTTAAAAGATTGGATTTTTCTGCCCAAAAGAGGGAAGATTTGAGAAAGGCACAGAGTGAGACAGCAAGAAGCTTCGTAGGTTGCGCCTTCTGAAACGTGTCTGCCCTGTGTCTTGATTACTTAGACTGACATGCATTTTCAGACTTGGTAGCTGATGTTGTGTTCCCTTGTCTTTGAACTATCACAAACCTTTATAAACACGGAATGTTTTTACTCTGAGAATCACAAGTTACCAACCATAAAGAGAAAAGTACAGGCAGGATGAGTGAGAGGTTTGTTTGAATATTTTAACAGGAGAACAAAGCTGTTCTTATAATACTGAACAAAGAGTTGTATCTGGAAAAGTTGCTCTCTTTGACTTGCATGCTGTTCCTTTTCTGGCCAGTACTTGCTCTCCCCACTTTCGTTTATCCCTTATTTTAGGCTTTTACCGGTCTCTTCAATGCTCTCACAGTCGTTTTCCAGAGTCTCTATTTAGCTTTGCATCCTTTTACAAAAATAACTCCAATGCTGTTAAACTTCGCTTCTGGGATTCTCTATCCTAATTGGTGATACCACCATTCACCACGCCGGAAACTGAAGATTTACCCTTGACTGCTTCTACCATGAAGCCTCCCTCATCCCCAGGCAGAGTCCGGCACTCTTGTCTCTGTACCACTGTGTGCATGTTTCTTGGTATGTACTTGCACTGACTGCAAATTAGTTGTTTGTAAACCAGGGCTTGAACTCTTTGAGATAGAGATCTACATTTTCTTCGTGGCATAATAGCACCTAGCAGAAATGTCTGGTTATATTTTGTTCTTAGTAGTGTTGTTTATTGTTGATCTGCTTGTGAAAACCCAGTCAGTAAATGCAGAAGCTGAGAATTCACCCCAGAGCTCCATTTCTGTCTGCTCCCATTTGTAAATAGAGGACATGCTTGTCGAAGGGCTTCATGACGGGAGCTGACCCCTCAGGAGAGCTGGGGTGCACCTGGTGGATGTGTGGTGCCCCGCTCCGGGCGCGTGTCAGAATTGTTTTGGCGATTCTGATACTTCATGCAGATGTAATGACAGACTCTTCAGAGGGGAGGCAGGGGTTTACATTATATTCACGGGACGAACAGGGAATGTGTGGAGTGACTCAGTATCAAAGTGAGGAGGGAGGAGGGCGTCCTTGCTTTGGCTGCGGAAGGGACGTGTCCAGCATTCAGAGGCGCTGGCTCGTCACACAGTGGCAGTGGGTATCTGCTGCCGAGCTCCTGTCAGGTGGGAGCGGTTTCCTGTAGCATTTTTTATGTGTAAATGTACTCCCATCTTCCATTGGTCAAGGTAACAGTGGGTTCTATGTCCATGTTGATAATGAATAGCACTAAAAATGACTGATAGTATATGCAATCATAAATGCAGTGTGAATGTTTTCAAAGTTGTGAATTTTATGACACTGTAGTAGAGCAGGTCAGATCTTTTCTGCTAGCTTATTAACATTGGCTTCTGATTCAAAATGATTGGCTACCCTCACATACCTTTGTTCTCCCTCCATTTGTTTTGATTTTCCTGGTATTCAAATGTCTGTAGCAGTTTTATTAATGTAAGAGCCAAAAACTGGAAACAACTCAAATATCCACAAACATGAATGGACAAACAGTGGTCTGCCCGTAGAACGCCATACTTCTCGTTGGTGTGAAAGGAATGAACTGCTGGCGTGAGCATCACTGGTCGATCTCCAGATAACTACGCTGCATGCGGGAACTCAGAAGGAGCAAAGAGTAAACACTGTGATTTCAATTATCTGAAAGTCTAGAAAATGCCAACTAATCTATTGAAAGGAGAGTAAAGCAGTGGTTACTTGGGGACGGCAGGGAGAGAGAGAAAGATTATTAAAGAGCATGAGGTAGCCCTAGCCGGTTTGGCTCAGTGGATAGAGCGTCAGCTTGTGGACTGAAAGGTCCCAGGTTTGGTTCTGGTCAAGGGCACATGCCTGGGTTGCAGCCTCGATCCCCAGTAGGGGGTTTGTAGGAAGCAGCCAATCAATGATTCTCTCTCATCATTGATGTTTCTATCTCTCTATCCCTCTCCCTTCCTCTCTAAAGTCAATAAAAATATATATTTTTAAATATGAACTTGGTTAAGGATATAAAATACAAATTCTTAAAAAAAAGGAGCATGAGGTAAATATGGTGTGCTCCTCCATTTTTAAGTATTATGAAAAGGAAAGGGAAGGCATGTACTGTTATTAACTCATAACGACAAAGGGAACAGGTGTGGGGACGGCATTGCGCATGGGAGCCAGTTTGTCCCACAGACCTTTGAAGAGGCTGTGGGCTCTGATGTGACTGACAGAGGCCAGAAGAGAGAGTGTGCTGCATTGGGGGCTCATTAACGTCTGCCTGTAGGACAGCCAGCTCAACCCCCACTTTGTGGGCAAAACAAAACAGTCTCCTTATTTTTACAAAATAGAATCACCAGGGAGAAATAGGGCCTGTGAGTGTGAGATTTGGCTGACCTCATTGGTCATTTTGAGGGTTCTTGAGTAACAGCTGTCCCTGGTGGGTCACCCTAAAGAAAAGCCGGTTCCCAGACCGTCCGTGTACTAGTGTACAGTTAGGCCTCGTATTCCCGACACACACAGGCTCCCCTGCCTTTTAAAATTGTACGATTCTCTTAAAATTAACCATTTTAAAGTACAGGCAGTCCTCCGGTTACGTCACCATCTCCCATTTATTTATAAAAAAAAAAGTTTCGTCATTTCGACGTACGTACATATGTGCTTTATGTTTTTTATTATTTACCACAAGTAAAGGTCAGGAATTGTTATCTTTCTTTTAAATTTTTTGTACTGTTTCCCTTCATTACTGCTGTGTGTGTGCTCCATGTGAGTGACGTAGGTGCTTATGTAGGTGGGTTCACACTTACGGCGAAAATCTCGTTACGTCGCCATAGGAACGGATCTCCGACGTCAGCCGAGGACCTGCTGTATACAATTCAGTGACAATTAGTACATTCACATCATCTTGATCTAGTTCTAATATCCCAAAAGGAAGCCTGGCACCCAGTAAGCACTTACTCCCCACTCCCCCCAGCCCCTGCCAGCCACTACGCTGCTTTCCGTTCCTGTGGATTTACTTACTTGATGTGTCATATGGATCACGCAGCATATGGCCTTTATGTCTGGTTGCTTTAACGTAGCATTGTGTTTTTGAGGTTTATCCAAGTTGTAGTATATATCAGTATTTCATTCTCTTTTTGGTGACCCGTAGTTTTTTTGTTTCTTTGTTTTTTAATGTGAATGGCTAACCAAGAATCACTAGACATTGAGGAAAATTGCAAAATGAAAGAGAAACAGAAAAATTGACCTTAACTGAAACAGACCATTCGATAATTTTGCTTGTTTTTAAAAGCATACTATTTACTATTCTCCCAAAATATTCAAGGAGATGTGGCATCTATAAAACAATAACATGCCATCAGGAAAAAACAATCAAAATAAAAAGAGCTTGTGAAGATGAATTATGGGCTTGCCAAGTTAAAAAAGATTCTGTAGATAGATCAGAAGATAAATCAAGAAAATCTCTCAAAATAACAGGCAAAATAACAGGCAAATAATGTGTGGAAAAAAGAGACATAGAGGATCAATCTAGAGATCCAGCATCTACTAGAATTTCCGGGAAGTGGGAACAAGGAATTGCAAGGAGGAAAATACTAAAAACTGTAAGAAGAAGAAAATTCCCAGGCGCTAAAGAAAAGAGCAGTCTTTATATTGAAAGGGTCTATCCATTGCCCAAAAGAATAAAGACCTGCTGCTAGAATTGTCACTGTGATGTTTCAGAAAAACAAGGATGGACAGAAAACCCTGAAAGTTTCCATAAAGATGTGCGGTCTGCTAACAGAAATGGAACCAGATGTCTCCGCAGCAGCAGCGACGACAAAGACAGCACAGCCGCGTCTTCAGAGCACTGAGTAAACTGGTTTCGAACCTAGAATTCTGTCATTGCAAAGTAAACGCATTTTCAGACATCAAGGACTTTCGATATTTATTTCCCTTTTAACTTTGCTGATATATTTACTTGCAGATGAAAATTTAAAAAGAGGAAAATAAAGATTCAAGAAGTGGTTGGACTAAGCTAGTAGTTCATGAAAGTCTCATGATGCCACCTGTACCACAGGCGTGCAGAGTAGCCCACATTTGAACAGAATTTTGGTGGGATCCAAGAAAAACTTCTTCAGGAATGGGAGTGGGGTAGGTTCCAGGCAGGAAGCAGAACGAAGCAGCTGGAAGATGGTTGGGATACGGTGAAGAAACCATAGAATTCTTTTCTAGGGACGAGGGAATTAGAATTCCCACGCAAAGTAGAAAAACTGCCCACAAAAAATCATGAGCCGGATGTAAAGCAAACACCGTGTGGCACAGTATGAATAATTCTCGGTGTCTGAAGACCATGTGTGAACATTCTCCTTTGAGTGGCCCACGGCTAGTAACATTGGAAGCACTAAGAAAAAACATGCAATTCTGGTCTTGTAAACAATGTCTTAAAGTTAGAAAAGTAATCAATAGAGGAACTGAAAATAGTGATTTAAACATTAAAAAGTTGGGCTTGGAAGGGGGAGGCAGCGAGTGGTAGAAGTAAACTACACCTGGTAGGGAACTGTGCACACGCTCAGCCGTGTTGGTGACAACCAGAAGGACCTACTAGACAAAGGCTGGTAGGGATTTCTCCTGGATGGGGGCCCGGGAGGGTGGGGGCGGGGGGGGGGGCAGGTGTTCTTTAATCAAAGTGCTTTTTATGAGCCGTGTGGGTTTCTTTTTTTTTTTTTTTTTTTAATATATTTTATTGATTTTTTACAGAGAGGAAGGGAGAGAGATAGAGAGCCAGAAACATCGATGAGAGAGAAACATCGACCAGCTGCCTCCTGCACATCTCCCACTGGGGATGTGCCCGCAACCCAGGTACATGCCCTTGACCGGAATCGAACCCGGGACCTCTCAGTCCGCAGTCCGACGCTCCATCCACTGAGCCAAACCGGTTTCGGCCGTGTGGGTTTCTTTGTTCATTGGTAATTGGGGTAGGTTCAGAGTTTGTTTATTCCCAATAAACAAGTGTTTCCTGAGTGTCTTCTGTTGTTTTGAATTTTAGATAGATGCTAAACAATAAACAACAACCTGGGGCAAATAGTTTCTTCTCCACCATAGAATAACTGAGGTATCTCTTTGCCTTTAGTTTCTGCCCCTTCTTGTTTAAAATGGTGAAAGAGGAGGTACAAATAAGTGAAACCCTTGTTACTTCTTTTTCATACTTTCCTTATATGTCCGCTAAAAGCACCATGTTGATTATCTTGCTCTGTTGAAAAATTTCAAGTGGCTTCTCCAGCCCGAACTCCTTCCTAACCCAGGTTTCATTTTTGCCTCCTCAAACCTGTCAGCATTTCCGGGCCCTCCTGCCACCTACAGGGATCTCTTGGCCGCCACCTTTTTTACGTGTAAACGTCCTCCGAAGAGCTGTGACGGCCTCTTCGGCGTCCCCTGCGGCCCGGAAGACCGTGTGTCCGCCTGGGCCGTGGAGGAGCACTGTGGATGTGCCGACTCGAGAGGAACCCACAGGACACAGGCCGAGGGTGGGGTCAGCGTATAGGCCCTGGTGCTAGCACAGGCATGGTTCTGGTGCTGGGGTGTGGCAGAGAAGGGAAGTGTTCTTTTGTTTTGTTTTTATTGATTTTTAGAAGAAAGGGGGGGGGGGAGAAACATTGATCTGAAAGTGAAACATCGATCGGCTCCCTCTTGCATGTGCTCCGACTGGATTGAACCTGCCACCTTTTTATTTTATTTTATATTTTATTGATTTCATAGAGGCAGGGAGAGGGAGAGAGAGATAGAAACATCAATGATGAGAAGAATCATTAATTGGCTGCCTCTCGCACGCCCCCCACTAGGGTCGAGCCTGCAACTCAGGCATGTGTCCCTTACCAGAACCGAACATGGGACTCTTCAGTCCGCCTGCCGATGCCTGTCCACTGAGCCAAACCAGCTAGGGCAGAACTCGCCACCTCTTTTTTTTTTTTTTTTAATATTTTATTGATTTTTTATAGAGAAGAAGGGAGAGGGATAGAGAGTTAGAAATATCGATGAGAGAGATCGATCAGCTGCCTCCTGCACCCCCCACTGGGGATGTCCCCACAACCAAGGTCCATGCCCTTGACCGGAATCGAACCTGGGACCCTTCAGTCCGCAGGCCGACGCTCTATCCACTGAGCCAAACCGGTTCGGCGCCACCTCTTTTTGATGTAAGAGATGACACTCCAACAGGGTGGCCAAACTCTCCAGAGCAGGAAACTATGAGCCGGAAGGTCACAGTGTGTGCTCAGTCCCCGGTAGGGGGTGTTCAGAAGGCAGCAGATCAGATTCTCTCTCACTGATGTTTCTATCTCTCCTCCCTTTCTCTCTGAAATAAATGGAAATATATATTTTTAAAACCCCACCCTCAAAGAGCTTCCATTCTGATGGACATTTACACAAACAGAAAGGTTATAAAAATAGCTTTATCTGCTTTGAGCATAGAGAAGGACAGCAGTCACGAGGTCTGTCTCTGAAACACGCTGCTGGAGTCTGGCTGTGTCCGTGAGGTGTGCTGCCTCTGCGGTGTCCTCTGGCAGAGGGGCCTGGATGGTACTCCGCCCTTTGCCTCTCTTCACAGCAGCAGTAGCCAGGAGAGACAGCACTGTTTGATATCATTCTTGTCAGGATGGGCTGTGGCTGTAGGAGGATGGTAGGAAACTTGGCTTTTCGTCCTATGTGCAGTTCATCACGGGTTGATATACCCTTGTCTGCCTTTATTTAGGCCAGTGATGGCGAACCTTTTGAGCTCGGCGTGTCAGCATTTTGAAAAACCCTAACTTAACTCTGGTGCCGTGTCACATATAGAAATTTTTTGATACTTGCAACCATAGTAAAACAAACACTTATATTTTTGATATTTATTTTATATATTTAAATGCCATTTAACAAAGAAAAATAAAAAAAATGAGTTCGCGTGTCACCTCTGACACGCGTGTCATAGGTTTGCCATCACTGATTTAGGCTGTGGTTACTGGGCATGACCTTAGTTTGCAGAAATGATGGTCATCTTGCTTATATGGCACCCTCCCTATCCCCCGAAAACTTTTTAGAATTCTAGAAGGGCTGTTACCAGCATTTTGTACTAAATACTTCCCAGAGGATTTTCATTGAAATGTGCCCTAAAAGATATGCTGGCTGGGATTGACTTCACAATATGTGGAGGGCAGGGGATAGGTGAGGTACAGTCACAGTGGCTTGGCCATGAGTCGGTGCTGGAGCTGGGTAATGAGCACATGGATTTCATTTCACTCTTCACTGTTGTAGTTGCTTGGAATTTTTCATAATTAAAAAAAAGTACCTTCATGGTCAAAGAATGATGACTTTCATATTTTTTGCTTTATTATATTTTGCATAAAAAACTTGGTTATATGAGGTCTTTAGTTTTTTTAATGATCAGAGACCATATTATGTTTATTAATAGATTTTTTTTAAGAGCACATATAACATGTAGGTGCCTCAATTACATGTCAGCCCTCCCTCCATGGAGACCCTTAAAGAAAAAGTGAAAGGAAGCAAAGTTATGATCATGGGCCAAAGAGATGACCTTTTAGAGGCTGAGAGTATGTGGGCGTGAAGTATGGGAGAGGCCAAAGCCTACCAGTTAAGTTAGACTTTAGGGGAAGCCGTGCCTGAGGTCAGAGGCCTGCTGGAACCCACTACCACCATTTTTGCCGATTTTGCCCCATTCTAGGGTGGTGTTCACTTACTCCTTTGTCTCTGCTTTAACCTTGTTTCTTCCTCTTATCCCTTCAGTACCGTCTTGCCTCACCCCTGGTCCCCTAAGACCTGACTCCTTCCATCTTGATCCCATTAGGCTAGTTTTTCTATATCACGTCCCTTTCGACCCCAGTCCCAGAAGCTGGCCCACAGTTGACTCCTTTCCTTCATCTCTGCTGTGTAGTGAGTGACGAGTGTTCACACATGTCATTGGGCCACAGAGTGGCTTAACCAGGCTGAGACATGGAGCCCATTCCTGTAGCCTTAAAAGATTTCAGGCAGTTGGCGAGTAAGAATTCTAAATAAAAATTGAAACTACCACCTGTATTTTTTCAGGCCGTTGATGCTCACTGCCATCAGCTGCATCCTCCCTATGGCACTGGTAAGTGTGGGAAGGGCTGTGACAGTGTTGGTGGGCTGCTGGATTTCTTTTTGCTGGGGGAGAAGCCTGTTTGCAAGCTGTGTTGTTAATTGTTCCCGACGGCTGGACAGTGAACCGGCTTAGGAGGCTGGAAGGAGGAAGAAGCACCTGCCTGTCCTCAGGGTTCCTTGGGGAATGTCAGAGGCACAGGCTGTTCAGGAGGCGCCTTGATCCTTACATACGTTTAGCCTTTTCTGTGCATTATTTTGAATAATAAACATAGACTATCCAAGTGCTCCGGGATGTCAGGCAGCAACAGTTAAATTTCCTGAAGTTCTTAAAACATTTTTCTTCAAAGATAGATCGGCTGTGCAGTAGACAGGGACCAGAATGCCATGTGTACTTACTGTTTCCTCCAGTAGAAGCATTTATCTCCCCCTGATACTTTAAGTTCTTTGTGGTCAGGGGATCAAGAAATGTTTGTTCCAATGATTAATATGAAATTCTGATAGAGACTTGACTTTTTTGGGGGATGGAGGATTGGTGGAAACGAGAGAAGAGATTTGAGGCTCCTTGACTAACATACTTCAGGAGGACTTGGGGACTTGTGATTTGAAAAGTTATTTTACCACAGTGCTTTCTGCTTAGGGACCTCACAGAGAAAACACACACAGTGAAGCTGAAACCTAGAGTGGGGGCAGCAGGTCACAGAATGGCTGAAGTACGAGCTGATCACCTGATTGCTCTGGCGTTGCCCTGTACAAGCTCTTAAAATCCTTCAGCTGTTTCCTGCTAATGAGCGGCTCAGAGGCCACACAAATTCAGAAGATTTATCTTACCAAGGTGGTCTCCATTCAAGCCAACAGTTAGACGTTTAGACTATTTCTCTAATCACAGAAGCACTTAGATCATAGAAGAAAATGCCTCCAGAATAGCTAAAGAAATGCTGTGGACTTGGGCTCGGTTAACCATGTCAGGGATTGCTTGCTGGTAACAGCAGCACACGCGTTGATAAACACTTACATCGTTGGTCCATACCCTGGGTTGCGGGCACATCCCCAATAGGAGATGTGCAGGAGGCAGCTGGTCGATGTTTCTCTCTCATCGATGTTTCTAACTCTCTATCTCTCTCCCTTCCTCTCTGTAAAAAATCAATAAAGAAAAAAGAAAAAAAAAAAAAAAAGAAATGCTGTGGACTTGGGCTCGGTTAACCATGTCAGGGATTGCTTGCTGGTAACAGCAGCACACGCATTGATAAACACTTACATCGTTGGTCCATACCCTGGATTTCCCCTGATGAGGAAAGAAGTGTGTGGCACGTTTACTACGTCCTTTTTGTTTGTTTATTGATTGATTTTAGAGAGAAGGAGAGGGAGAGAAAGAAACATCGATTTGTTGTTGGGCTTATTTATGCATTCATTGGTTAATTCTTGTATGTGCTCAGACCAGAGATTAAACCCGCAACCTTGGCGTATCGGGACAGTGCTCTAACCAACTGAGCTACCTGTCCAGGGCTACTGCGTTCTTTATTTTAAACAAACAAACAGGAGAACTTGACTCCCCAGCATCGGTCTACTCCTTAGGTATCTATGCACAGCTAGTAACTGCTGAACATGCCTGAGGGACTGTGTCAGGGAAATACCTTTTAAGTGTCTCTCCTAAACACAGAACATGGAGGCGGACATCAGATGTTACCGGCAACCTTTGGGAAATACTACTGACCGGCAGCAAAGTCCTTTCTGACATGCGTGTAACCAAGCGCTGCTTTCGGAAAGACGGATCTGGCAGTGTCTGGGAGTGTAGAGGTTATAAATGCAATGGCAAAGCAAAACCAGATCGAAAAAACAAAACAAAACAAAACAAACCAAAAAAAAATAGCAACCCTCCCCAGATGAGCACAAAGAAAAACCCAACAGCTTGGATTGGTGATGCAGAGCAGGGTTAGGGTAAAGGACAACAGGTGATGCCCTAGGCCAGTGGGTCTCAACCTTCTGGCCCTTTAAGTACAGTTCCTCATGTTGTGACCCAACCATAACATTATTTTCGTTGCTACTTCATCACTGTCATGTTGCTACTGTTATGAATCGTCATGTAAATATCTGATATGCAGGATGGTCTTAGGCGACCCCTGTGAAAGGGTCGTTCGACCGCCAAAGGGGTTGCGACCCACAGGTTGAGAACCGCTGCCGTAGTCTTTCAAGCTTCCCCAGAGGCTTCTGGCCCTTGTGGGTCAGGCTCTAGGCCAGTGATGGCGAACCTATGACACGCGTGTCAGAGGTGACACGCGAACTCATTTTTTTGGTTGATTTTTCTTTGTTAAATGGCATTTAAATATATAAAATAAATATCAAAAATATAAGTGTTTGTTTTACTATGGTTGCAAGTATCAAAAAATTTCTATATGTGACACGGCACCAGAGTTAAGTTAGGATTTTTCAAAATGCTGACACGCCGAGCTCAGAACGTTCGCCGTCACTGGTCTAGGGCCCAGGGGAAGGGGGGAGGGGCCTGGGAGAGGCGCTGCCGTTGGCTCTTTTCTGACCCATCTCTGACTCTGACAGCCTTCTCTGGACCACCCAGACCTGAGGGCACCCTCGGTCTTTGGTGGACTTCATACCACAGCTCACCCTTCCTGTCCCACCTTTTTCAGCTCAGGCAAAGCGAGAGAGGAGTTTTGTCTTTGGGGCTTATATTTGCACTGACCCAGGCTGCCGGGGAGTGGGATTGCTGTCAGAGGCGGGCCTGAGAGCGGTGCCCTGTTTATCAGCAACGTCTCAGGAGCTGACAGGCTGCGAGCAGAGCGTCCAGTGGGCTGCTGTGAAGGCTTGGTCTGGGAGGTCAAGAGAGAGCGCGCGTTGTGAAGTCATCAGCATTACAGGGCTTTGTGGCAGTTTTATCTATTTATTCTGAAAGTCATGCCGGAGAATCAGTTAACCTTTGGTCAAAACTATGTTAAAACTCTGAATGGGAATTTGTCATTTTGAGGAGTAAGTAAACTATTGAATGCAGTAGTATAAGGGCCAACCCTTCGTTTTCTGTGATATTTGTTTATGCAAGTGATTTCCATTAAATTCAGTTTAGCAAACTTTCTCCTTCTGACTTCTTTTTTTTTTTTTTTTTTTTTTTTTTTTTAAATATATTTTATTGATTTTTTTACAGAGAGAAAGGGAGAGAGATAGAGAGTTAGAAACATCGATGAGAGAGAAACATCGATCAGCTGCCTCTTGCACATCTCCCACTGGGGATGTGCCCGCAACCCAGGTACATGCCCTTGACCGGAATCGAACCTGGGACCTTTCAGTCCGCAGGCCGACGCTCTATCCACTGAGCCAAACCGGTTTCGGCCTCCTTCTGACTTCTATTATGAAAAATTTAAAACACACAAAGAAGTTTAAAGAATTGTAAGGCTGGCCAGTGTGGCTCAGTGGTTGAGCATTGACCTGTGAACCAGGAGGTCATGGTTCAATTCCTGGTCAGGGCATTTGCCCGGGGATGCAGGCTCGATCCCCAGTGAGGGGCATGCAGAAAGCAGCTGGTCAGTGATTCTCTCTCATCATTGATGTTTCTATCTCTTCCCTCTCTGAAATCAATAAGTATATATATTTTTAAAAATTGTACAGGGGGCATCCATATTCCTGTCATCTAGATTATACAATTGCTAAGCTTTTTTAAAAAAATTAAAAAAATATTTTTATTGATTTCAGAGAAGGGAGAGGGAGACAGAGATAGAAATGCCAATGATGAGAAAGAATCATTGATTGGCTACCTCCTGCACTCCTCCTACTGGGGATCAAGCCTGCAACCCAGGCATGTGCCCTGACCAGGAATCGAACCTGGGACCCTTCAGTTCTCAGGCCAACTCTCTATCCACTGAGCCAAACCAGCTAGGGCACAGTTGCTAAGCTTTTGCTACATTTGCTTTATTCATCAATCACTTTTATTTTTATATAACTTTATTGAAGTATTATTTACATTTCATTAAATTCACACATTTTAAAGTATACTTGTTAGGTGAGTTTTAGTAAATTTATGCAGCTGAGTCATAGAACTCTTTCATCTCCCTCGAGTTCCCTTCTGTCTGCTGGTAGTCAGCCCCTGCTCCCAGCCCCAGGGGACTACTGGCCATGTTTCTGACTCTGTGTTTTTTGCCTTTTCTAGAAGTTTCATATAAATGGAATTATACAATATGTAGTCTTTGTGTCGGGCTTCCTTCACTTAGCATAATGTTTTTGAGGTTCATCCATGTTGTATCAGGTCAGTAGTGCTTTCCTTTTTATTGTTGAAGAATGCTTTTCTGTTGTATAGATGTACCACATTTCATTGATCCACTCATGCAGTAGTTAATGGATATTTGGGTTATTTCCAGTTTGGGGCTATTATGAAATGTGCTGCTATGACCATTCATGTCCAAGGTTGTAAATGAAGATACGTTTTTATTTTTCTTGGGTAGATATCTAGGAGTGGGATTACTAGGCCAGATGGTGAGTATATATTTAGCATTTTAAGAACCCGCCAAACCATTTTCTGAGGTGACTCTTCTAGTAATTTTACATCCCCACCAGCATTACAGAGGGTTCCAGTTCCTCCACATCCTTGCTGGCACTTGGCATTGTCAGTCTTTTGGATTACAATCATTCCAGTGAGTGTGAAATGGCATTTTGTGGTTTTAAATTGCATTTCCCTAAGGATTGATGATGTTGAGGATCTTTTCTTGTGCTTATTTCCTGTTCATACTTCTCTTTGGTAAAGTGTTCAGAACTTCTACCCATTTAAAAAAAATTGAGTTTGTCTTGAGTTGCATGAGTTCTTTATATCATTTGAATTAAGTCCTTTATCAGATAATTATTTATAATTATTTGCTTCCAGTCTGTGGCTTTTCTCTTCCATTTCTTAATGCCTTTGAAGGGTAAAAGTTATTTTGGTGAAGTCCAATTTATTGATTTTTTTCCCTTTTAAGGATTGTGCTTTTATTATATCTGAGGAATCTTTGCCTAAACCAAGGTCGTCACAAAAATTTTCTT